CCCCCCCCCCCCCCGCCGGGAGGGGGGAGTGAGCGAGCGGCTGCGTGGTGCTCAGTTGCTGGCTGGGGTTGAGCCACAACAGATATAAAAGTGAATATAAAAGTCTACTAAGTATGTCATAGTAAAATGACCAGGAAAATACAGAAAGGAAACAAACAAACAGACAAAAGAGACCAAGTTAAAATCACCCATTTGAATTAATTTGGAAGTGAACTGAAAGGAATTAAATCAAAGAATTGATGAAAAAAAAAAAAGAAGCGTAGAGCTGGGGGATGGTCACATTTTACTTAGCTAAGCTCTCTGACTTTTCTTTAAATTGTAACCCAATATAGAATGACTGTGGTACTCAATTCTGGAAAGGAAGAAAGAGGTGTTCATCCTCCCAGTTGTTACCCAACAACAGTTATGACCTCCCGACAACTTACAGATAGAAACAAAGTATTCCTGGTTTGCGTTTTGGCTATTCACGGATAGCTTTTGCTAAAGGGTCTTGGTGTACCCTTTACTGGCACTATAGTCACCTCTATTTGCACAAATAAAGACATTACAGTAGTTATATTAACCAACATAATTAAAACTTTAAAAATAGAACATCTGTAAATGGTCAAAAGAAAGTGCATCAGGAAGGTTACTTCACACTCCAGTTGCCTTTTATAGGAATTCTTTCACTTTCCATGAATAGATGAGGTACAGGATAATGTGCCTGATTCCAGTCCTCCTACAGGCAAGGTGACTCTAATGAGAATGAGAAATAGTACAGACCTAATACTCCCTAACGAGAATAGCACAGACCTCAAACGAACCATTGGTTTGCTCCATATGCACTAGCTTTTTTATTATAATTACTTCCTGGCTCTTTCGTGCTCTGGTTTGCAGACTCAAACATCTCATTTCATGCGTTACAAGTTTATCCTTCTCAAAGGGCTTTTCTGTAGTGTGTTTTTTTAACATGTAAGAGAGAACAAAAATGGTTTCCTGTAACATTTTCTCATCTGTTGCTCCTTTCCCTCTGCTCCAAGCTAAGTATCTCAGGGGAGCTTAAGGCCAACTGCGCTATCTGTACTGCAGATGCTGTCCCATCTCATGACGTACCCTGGAATTCATGTATGACTCTGAGCAGACTAGACATATACATTCCATTTATCCCCAAGCCGCATACTAGCATAAAGCCACAAATGCACATAAAGAAGAGCAAAAAAAGGGGGGAGACAAAATTTCTAGGCAGCAAAGAGATTTAGACAAACTGGAAGTATTATCTATAGACACTATGCATCTCATTTTGTTTAGAAATTGATCATGAACAGATCACTTGTATTAAATTAATTTCCATTCTTAATTCTCTGAATAAGAGTTTAAATCAATCTATTTGGATTTAAGTTTTTATCATATGTTCCTAGAAAGCACTCATAGTCGAATCACTGGAGCAGTAAATCTACTGAGGAGCGGAAGTAAGTATTGTAGGGACAGTAGGAGACAGCAGATGATAAAGAAATATCCGATGACACAATGCATCTGTTGTCTGTGCTGTCATTACTTCTTGCCAAAAAAATAATGGCTTAACATATCTCTTCTCCATTTCTGCTTCCAATAAAAATCTAGTACTTACTCAACAGCATAAGAATGTAACTCGATCTGATCAAAGGTCTAGCCAGTTAGCTTTCCTTTGACAGAGATGAACAGTAGAAGGCTAACGAAGAGTTTAGAACAGGGTATTGCAGTATTTCCTCAGTAAGGAACCCCCTAAGCTTCCAACAGCTCACGACCAGAAACCTTGAGCGTCTGGCCCTGTTACAGTAGCTGTGTTTTTAATAATCTTTGACAGGCTTTTTGTCATGAATTTGCCTTATTTGACTCTTTGAACGCATGCAGGCTTTTGTTATCTATATTATATTGTGCCAGTGGGTTTCAGACTTTAACTAAATATTGCATGAAAAGGAACCTCACAAAAAGTACCTCCAAAAATATTTTAAATTAAAAAATGTAACTTTACAAGCCAAACTCAGCCAGGAATTAGCTGTCGGTGGTTTTAACTAAGCTCTGGCATTTGTCTGAGAAGAATTTTCATGATGTCGAAATTAAGAATCTTTTCCCATTTGAACCACCATATGGAAATGCTTGTAATAAAAAGTCTAGAATTACTGAAATACTGTGTTTCTCGCTAGGCAGCTCTGCAGACCAAATGGTGCACTGTAACGTAATGTAAAAAAGAGATTAGTGACTTACTCAATTCATATCATGTAAATGATAGCAGAATAGGATATCTCACGTTGAACGTTACTCACAACTGCTCTAAGGCAATCATTATGCCACAATATGAATACATTAACATTTGATAATTTCTCGTATGTTTTAACATATAGTATCTACAGTTATCTGAAATTAACTCTTTTAAACTTTAGAAAAGCAAACCCCAACAAATTAAGCACTGTATAATTATAGCAGAATATTTAATTCTACCAGAGAAATAACACACCAAGATTTGCTGTGAAACAACCTCTTTAAAACATTCAGTATACAGTAAGCATGCCATTTAACTTTTGAAGGTATATTAGCATTACAGGGCTGTACCACTACTTGTCTACTTCCTAATATGTACCTCTTTACATTGTTGCTTCTCCACATCCTTTGCTGGGATGAGTTTGCAAAGAGGCAGCTCCATGCCATACTACTGTAAGGTAGTACGCTAAGGAAACGCACACGCTTTCAGGTACAGTGCTTCTGCAGACCGATGCAGCACCCAGAGCTGCAGGAAGCACAAAGGAAGAGTTAACCTGCCATCCTTTAGGAGACACGCTGCACGACAGCGCACTACTAAGGCCCCGGAACAGAAAGCTCGGGGCAAACCACCCTGCTCCCCCCCTCAGCTCTGAAACCAAGCACCTTCGCCAGCACTTTCACTGCAGCTACGGTAAAGGGCTTGTTCTCAGCTTTGAACACCCGAGACAAATCACAGGATTTTGTGGGGCAAATCCTCAACCCAGCGGAATCGACGGCAACTACCGACGGGTACAATCTGATTGTGCGCTTGTTTCGTTGACAACCTTTCTATAACGAAAAAAAGGATAAATAGACATTGAGTCTCCGGGGCTTCCTGATGACGATGACGACTAGTACCTGGGGCCAGTCCGTCCCAGCTAAGAGAGAGAAAGCCAGTTGCCCGGCGAGAAGGCCACCGTCTCCGAGGGGCCCCGCCACCCACCCAGGCGACGTC